AGTTTGGGGAAGCTTTATCGGATCTAAATTCTACATGGAGTGGGAGGTGTTTAGAGTCTTGGTGCTTGCCGTTTTATCTTTACCATTGAAGTTCTTGGTTTTGTCTCTTCCTAAATGAGTCATTTTTTTAAAAAGGAACCTAACTTGGGGGGGCGAGGAAACCACTGAGGGAGGTGCTGAGTGTGGGGGCGCTGAGGGGCCAACCATCGGGAGACCGAGTTTGCAGCTGGGCCCTCCACTCAGGAAGGATGGAAGGGACCCGTCCTTGCTGAGGGTGAGTCAGAGACAAGTAGGACATAGCCTGGTTGGGGAGGTGCAATAGGAAGGTCTTGATGTTGTTTATGAAGCTACCGGTATTTACTGGAGCTCCGACACCAAACATACCGCCTGGACGCAGGGCGCATCCACTGGCAGAAGTGGATTGTGGACACTTGAGAGATTGTGGACAGAGGGGAAGGAGCTTCCTAGTTTGTCCTCTGCTTGAGATGACACAGATTGTGTCCACAGTTGCCTGCACTTTCAGATAAATGAACTGACATTACCAAGTCCCATGCTAGTGTGAACAATGCAAGTCAAAATGTTAGGGCCAGGCAAGATGTCAAAGGGGCAGGAGGTGGCCGCTGAGGACCCCACTGTGGAATGCTGAAGGCGGCCCCGATGACACAGATGCTGGCTGGGCGGCGGAGGGAGATCAGATGGAGGACGGGAGCTCTGCGGGACCGCTGCATGTCACTTCCCCTTTCTGTGCTAAGATCTCCCAGCTGAAAAATGGTCCCCTACCACACACACACCTCAGTCACCAGGCCCCTGCTAGCTGTTGGGGGTGCTTGATGTCCTAGATGCCTGAGTGGGTAGGGGCGGGAGGGAGAGCAGGACAGGGTGAGCAGAGCCTGGCTTTGGAAACCAGAGCAGCTCCACACAGTTTGGCCCAAATCCCTCCTGTGCTTTGGGTGAGGAGAAGCCCAGGGTAAGGGTGCCTCCCGACAGCCGGGAAGATCTTGGTGCCTTGGGAGCTTGGGCTGGGCAGGCTCCTTCTCCTCCACATAGAGCCCCCTGCAGGGCCGGATTTCATCTTTTCTCAGTGGTGTGTGGCCTCCTGCCACTGTGCATGCGTGTTTTCTAAGTTTGTCACAAACTTCCTGTTTAGGTACGATCGGAGGCTCGCAGCTCTGTGTGTTTTGAAACCTGGGCATTCACCGAGGTCCGGCGCTTCTCTCTTACCAGCAGTGGGGCGGCCTGTTTGTTCCTTTGCAGACTTCTGCCGTCCTTCTTTGCAAACCTTCTTGCTGGGAAATGCTCTGTAGCCCTGTGCTTGTTTCTGTTAGGAAGGGTAGAGAGAGCTGTGAGGTCTGAAGCCTGGAAAGGGGGAGGGGAGCAACACTGAGTGGGCCCCTTATGTAAGGCCAGGCACTGTGCTGCAGATGATGCTTCTATACACTTGTTTTATTTAGGCCTCACACTCGCTCATGCAGAGCCACAACTCCCAAGAGGTGAAGGCTGACCTGGCCGATGAGGTCAGGATTTGATCCCAGACCTGACTCCAGTGCTCCTGTGACTTCAGCTAAGTCCTGAGGAGCATGCTTCCCCTTTGGTTGCTCCTGGTTTGGGTAGATCCCGATTTCTTTGGGGGCATCTTGGTGACAGCATCCCCTTGAAACCCATGGTTTTCTCTCAGCCCCTTGTTATCCAGGCCTGCCCGTCTGTCTGCCTGGGGTAACTGGATGGCCCTGAGTGCTTTGCTGATTTTCACCTTTCCCATCCCCTTGTGGCTCTGGGAATCCCAGAATTGGTAGATGGTAGTCTGTAGCTGGTGATCGAAGTGGAGCAGTCCAGCTCCTCATTTCTCAGAAATAGAATATTCTTTTCCCTGCTTCTGGGCGCTGAGCCCTGACTGCTTTGCTAGTCACCAGCAGCTTCTCCACACAGCTGGATTCCTTACATTTCAAGCTCTCCCTTGAAGAAGGAAGAAGAGAGTATATCTATGTATGTCTGCAAAAGCATGTGAAAGGGTGGCAAAGGAAGGGCACCAAGACCTTGAATATGCAGGTGCAGGAAGAGGAGAGAGGAGCCAAATCCAGCCGCCCTCCTCCCTGTTAGAGCAGCTCTTAGAAGGTGCCGGACTCTGGTGCCTCCTGTATAGGAAGAACAGGTATGCCTCCCAACTTCAAGAAGGCCCTGCGTCCCTTCACTTGCCCATCTTGGTTCTCCTGTATTTTCTGAAAAACCTCTGGAATCGTATCACCTGAGCATCAGGATTGTTCTGTGGATCAAATAACTGAGACACTGTGTTGAGCAGTGGGCAACTGTAAGCATTTTCAACCCTATTCATTGCCCTCAAGAGGCTTGCATTCCACTTGGGCACAGGGAACTCTTGCCCAGAGAAGCTAAATGCAGTGAGCTCAGAAGAGCCAGGAGAGCTCAGCGAGCTGGGTTGGTGCCAGCCAGCAGACTGCAGACCCAGAGACCCAGCACCCAGCACCCAGCAGATCCAGAGGGCTGGAGCTGGGTGACCAGAGGGCAGAGCTGCAGGGGAGGAATGTGCTGGGTGTTAGGACCTGGGTGAGGTGCATGGACTGGGCAGGGGATTACAGATGGGGTGAGCAGAGGTCCACATGGGAAACAGGATTGAAGAAGGACACGTGTACCATTTAGGAAGGATCCCAAGGGATGGCTGTGGAGTTTGGAAGGTTCCTGTATTGAGGAATCTCCGAAGCCAAAGTTTGGGGCCGGGATTGGTAAATGCAATGCTGTAAGAAGGTCCGTCTGGATTTATGAACTGTGAATGGGCAGTGCTGATAAGTTAGGAGACATTTATCATGTCGGGGGTTAGGAATGAAATGTTGAGGACTTGGACTAGGGTGGCCGTAGTGTATGTAGAAAAGATGAGACAGAAGTGGAAGATTTCAAATCTCAGCTCTGCTACTTGCCACCTGTGTGACCTTGAGCACTTCCATCTCTTTCAACCTGTTTTGTCATCTATAGATAGAGGCTACAAACGCTTCACAGGACTCTTGTTAACTTGTAGCACACCCAGCACTTTGTAGGTGCTCAAGGAGTAATGAATCTTCTCATGCGGTGAGATGCATCGTTTTGTGACCAGGAGGTATGAGGGGAGTGGAGAATGAGGTTCTGAATCTCGGAGCTTGGGAGAATGACAAAGCCTTCATGGAAAGGGATGGAACTGCTTGGGGTGTTTGAATTCAGCTTTAAGAACTTGTCCTCCTAAACCCTGGCTACTGAGGGCTGTCACAGAAAACCCCACATCCATGTAGATTGCACCTCTACGAAACCACGGCCTCTGGCTGGAGCGGGGCCCTCTGGGATGCTGGCCAGCAGGTGTCTACCTCCAGTCAGGGTGGGGACTAGGGTGAGAGAGTGAGCCACCTAGGGCACCAACGTTGGGAAGTGCTGGGCTTCAGGGCCACGCCGCATTTGATACCCACAGTGGGACATGCACACCAGCCTCCTCTCCTATCTGCCCTTCTCCACTCAGGAGACCACCTGGCTTCTCTGTTCACAGAAAATGTCACTCCATGGCGAGCCCACTCGGGTTCCCTCCTGTGTGCTGACCTGCATTGGGCTCATTCCCACCTGGTTTCCTTGTACTCAGAGAAAGAGACATCCTCCCTCCTGGCCAGAGAGAACCCTCTCCCTGTACAGGGGTCCCCCTGCCTCCTGCAGCCCCTGGGACCTCACCCCTCAGTCCTGTAGCAGCAATTTCCTCAGGGCTTCACCCGCCTCAGCCTCACTTTCTCTCGTCTCCTCCCCTCACAGATGGACCTGTGGATATAATCTGCCCTCACTAACACAGCCCACGCAGTCTGGCCTCCACCTGTGGGGCCTTGTGCCTGGTCCAGGGCAGGGACTGATGAGGTTGCTGCAGAGGCCTCCCGCCTTCTGCAGGGGCTGCCCTCTCTAAGGTCACCTGCAGCCACCACGTTGCCACACGCAACGGACACTTCAGTTCTTATCTGTCTGGGCTCTTTGCTGCTGTTGACACTGTGAGCAGCTTCCTCCTTCCTGCAACTCTCTCTTTTCTTGGCTTGTTTGATTCCATCATACAAAATCTCTCAACAGCTATTTCTTGAGCACCTACTATGTGCCAGACTCTGGGCATACCATAATACGATGTTCCTGCTCTCAGGGAGTTTACAGTCTAAGTGAAGTGGTGAAAAAGGGATGAAAAAAATAAATAAATGTCAGGTGGTGATAAGGGTTGCAAAGAGAAATATATAAGAGGGAAGGAAGCAGGGAAGGGGGCCGGGGTTGGAGGTGGGTCTCACTGCAAAGGACGTGGGAGCAGAGAGCTGTAGGAAGTGCCGGATGCCTTGGGGAACAGTGCTCCAGGGATGGGGGAGAGCAAGTGTGGAGGGCTGAGGCAGGAGCCTGCTTGGATGTTTGAAGAAGCCATTGTGGCTGGAGGAAATTGAGGAAGGGTAGAGTAGGAGGAGAAGAGGTCAGGTGCCTCAGTCCGTCAGGGAAGAGGCCCAGCCAAGTCGTGTGGACTGTGGCCATTTCTTTTTTTTGTTTTTGTTTTTGTTTTGAGATGGAGTTTCAGGCTGGAGTGCAGTGGTGCCATCTCCTCTCACTGCAACCTCCACCTCCCGGGTTCAAGCGATTCTCCTGCCTCAGCCTCCCAAGTAGCTGGGATTACAGGTACCCACCACCATGCCCGGCTAATTTTTTGTATTTTTAGTAGAGACAGGGTTTCACTATGTTGGCCTGGCTTGAGATCCACCCACCTCGGCCTCCCAAAGTGCTGGGATTACAGATGTGAGCCACCACGTCTGGCCAACCATGGCCATTTCAAGGATTTTGGCTTTTACTTTTACTTTACCCAGCAGCCTTTGCTGGGTCCTCCTCCTGGGTGGGCCCATCAGCCACTGGGATCTTTAGGGCTTCATCCTGTGTCACTTCTCTGGTCTCTCCCTGATCGATACTCACTGTTCCTCATTCTGAAGCCAGATATCCTGACTGTGCTCTTTGGGTCACCCCTGCAGGCCCTGGCTGTGGAGGATGCTGAAGGAAGAAGACGCAGAAGCAGGACAACCCTGAAAGATTGAGCCTCTTCATCCTCAAACAGGTAGCTTCTCGGGAATTCTTGATGTTGGAACATTTTACACAAAGCAATCATAAGACCATTTTTGGACCCACGTGGTGCAGAGAATGCCCCAAGAAGCAGAGAAGGGCTGCTCTGGTCCTGGAAATCCATAGGTTTCCAGAAAATTTTCTCTGGGAAGTGGTCAGGGATTGTGGCTTCATATACTGGTTTTTGGCAGCTTCTGGAACGGGGGAGAGGGTGTCTTGTCTCTCTTGATTTCACAGAGTTGTAAATAGTTGAGGATCCAATGGACCTCCCCAAACGGTAGTTCTAGAAGTGTTCAGAAGGAATTAAAAATGTCTGGATGCATCTCTGGAGAGTCGTGGTATAGAAGGCTGCTGTGGGAAGCTCCACAGAGCCTGCCATAGGCGGGTTCCTGGACTCAGGAGTCTTAGCTGGCCCAGGGGCATTCCTCATGTTTATATCAGCTCTGACCTCATGATCCCTTCCATTCTCAGTTTGTCCCTCCATAAAATGGGCACAGAGCTGTGATTCCTCTGCTGGGCCCCTCACAAGCTGTTTCAAGGGTCAATAGAATTTTAAGCTTTTATTTCAGGTGTAAACCCTGATCCGGCAGGAGATGGCTCCGTCCTCCACACGTTCTCGGCGACAGTGGGGAAGGCGGGTGGTGGTATCTGATTTGATTGTTTCGGTGTGTGTGGTTTTGTTTTCTTGGCATGTGCCACACTTTCCATTCCTCTTATGTGAGGCTTAGAATTGATTGCTTCAGTTTCTTTTTTATTGTGCCTGATTCTGATTTAATTTTAAAGCCGTCATCTCTCGGGGTTCCAGGTGGAAACATGTGGCTTGTGCAAAGTGGGTAATTGAAGGGCCTCTACCGAAGGGACTACTTATAAGGATGCAGGCAGAGTTCAGAGAAACCAACAAGGGATGCTGAAGCACCCAGGGCCAGCAGTGTCAGGGAGCTGTTACTGTGCCTAGGCCCAGAAGGAAGACAGAGGGACTTGGCTGTCAGGATGGGAAACAGTAGCTGGAGAGGTGTCTCTGGTAGAGGAATGCAATCAACCTACAGCAGCTTGGCCGGGAAAGAGCCAAGAGAATAAATATCCTCATTGAACCCCTCAGATCTCCCATCTCCTGATGCTGGTGCCTTCCATTAGGCAACCTCGGTCAGCCAGAGGCAAGGGAGCTGAGTGGATGCTGTCCACAGAGGGTAGAGCTACGTGGAGGACGGAGGGTGGATCTGTGGAGCGAATGGGAATGATCTCAGAGAGTCAAGAGTTAAAGGTCACTTGAATTATAAGGATGTTTCTACTTTAGACCAAAAGAGGCTTTTATGTATGTTTAAGTGAAACTTTGCATTGTGAGGTCAGCTACGTAGATGTGCCGACTGTGAGGCAGCAGAGATCCCAGTCCTTTTCAGACTTGAAAAGACCCAGGGAAGTCAAGGGACTTGCCCAAGGCCACTCATTAATTCATGAAATTGTTTCTTGAAAGCCTGTTACAATTTCTCGGGAAAAACAACACAAAACATTTGAAACAGTTTAAAAAAAAAAAAACAGCATAAAGCAAAATCTGAGCAAGTGCCAGGAAGAGGCTGTGGATTCACACACATTGTAGTCTGTTTGGGCTGTTAAAACAGAATGCCGTAGATGGGGAGGCTTGTAACCACCACCAACATGTATTTCTCAGAGTTCTGGAGGCTGGAAGTCTGAGATGAGGCTGCCAGCATGGTCAGGTTCTGGTGAGGGCCTCTTTCATGTTGCAGACTGACAACTTCTTGTGACCTTACGTCGTGGAAGGGACGAGAGTCTCTGTCAGGCCTCCTGAATAAGGGCACTAATCCTATTCATGAGGACTTCACCCTCAAGAACTGATCACCTCCCAAAGGTTCCATCCATAATACTATCACTTTGGGGATTAGGATTCGAACACATGAATTTGGGAGGGACACAAACATTCAGGCCATAGAAGCTCTTGTTTCCCATTTATCAGTTTGGATTCTTTCAGACTGACTACCAAAAATCCTAAATCCGAATTCTAGAAAGCCTAACTTAGGGCTCCCATGGCACAAGGAAGTGATTAATCAGCTCATGTACCTGCAGTGTGCAGGGATAGGGTGGACTGCAGGGTGGGTGTGAACCAGCAGCTCAACCATCCAGTTGATTTTGTGTGTGTGTGTTTTTTTTAATCTCTCCGCTTACTCCTCCCTGGGTCAGTTCATCCTCAGGCTGGCTTCTGCACCAGACTGGCTTCTGCACCGGGCTGTGGGGAGGCTGGGGGTGTGTAGAGTTTTGGACAGTGTCAGGGGAGGAGAGACATACACCTTGGGAGCCCCAGTTGACATCCACCATACTGTACCACCCATAGAGGTAGAATGATACCTTTCTAATTTGGACCAGTCATTGGGGGTAATAGGGAGAGGAAACTCAATCTTAACACGTAAAAGTTTGAATCTTAAAGTGTTTTAGTGTGGTGTGGTATCAGGCAGAATCTTCCCAAACATATCCTGTTGGAAGCAGTTAGCATCTGTTTTTTAGTATGTCTTAAAATGTAGGACCTTCTAGTAGGTTAAATATACCTTCTGAAATCCCATTTAATTTCTAATTTGCTTATTCAACCTTTTAATAGCCAGAGTAAACACTGAACTCAAATTCTGGGTTGGTGAAGATTAAATTACAGTAATGAGGTTCCTCATTTATAACCTCATCTATAAAATGGAAATAAGAATAGCACCTACTTTATAGGTTTGCTGTAAGGATTAACTGAGGTGATCCAAGTTGAGTGCTTAACCCAGTGGCTAGCCCCATAAATGTTACCTTTATTAATGTCATATATCTCCAAATATTGTCACCTTTATGTTTTTATGTGCATGTTTAATCTAGGAAATTAACTCTCTTTGCAACAAATATATTATCTGCTGCTGATTAGTTCAGTTAGAGAGGAGGTAAATAAACGTATTAAAATATTTAGTGTTTATGGATTCTTTTTTTACTGAAGTGTTTGTGTGTGTGTGTGTGTGTGTGTTTTATAATTCATTTTGAGGAAAGTCTAAATAGAGAAAAGTTTAAGGAGCATACAATTAAATTAAAAATAGGTATAACCTCTGGAAAATAGAAAGTTTAAAATTTTATGGCAATACGTTCTTATATTTTTAGTTGAAAAAATGATGGCCTGTTATGACCTATCCCAGCTTATTTTTTTTTTTTTTTTTTTTTTTTTGAGATGAAGTCTCCCTTTTTCACCCAGGCTGGAGTGCAGTGGTACGATCTCAGCTTACTGCAACCTCCACCTCCAGATTCAAGCAATTCTCCTGCCTCAGCCTCCCGAGTAGCTGGGACTACAGGTGTGCGCCACCACACCCAGCTAACTTTTGTATTTTTAGTAGAGAAGGGGTTTCACCATGTTGGCTAGGATGGTCTCGATCTCTTGACCTTGTGATCTGCCAGCCTCGGCTTCCCAAAGTGTTGGGATTACAGGTGTGAGCCACCGCACCTGGCAATTTTTTCTCTTATTTTCAGTTTGAGGCTCCGGAGGGATGAGTGACCCTCCTTGCCTTTGGTTTTCTGAACCAACTGCACAGTGAGACTGTTCTGGGTGGGTGGATGGGTTTTAGGGTCACCTGGATTGAGTGAGATGGAGCAATACTGAGAAGCTTGTCTTGGACATTCACTTCAGTAGCATTTCAGCTGACAATATGGTGAATCATTCCCTAAAGCCTCTGGTGCCATAGGGCTGACCTCTCAGAACCCCAGGAGGGTCAAGTGTCTTGATTTGGGGTTCCCAGGTTAACGATAGGGGAGAGCACAGGTTGGCACAGGGCCTCCAAAAGCTTTACCACCCTTTTCAGAACCAGGAGGAGGAGGCCGTAGGGTGCAGCTGGAGAACGGTGTCCAGAGTGACCAGGAGCTTTGAAGACGACATTCTTTATCTCCACTCCCAAGGGTTGACTAAAGTTAGACTTTGGTTTTCTGTAGGTGGTTAGTTGCACTTGGGGTTTGCCACCATTTTGATACCCAGATGAGCACCGATTGACTCCAAATTCCTTGGCTTAGCTGTGTAAACTAGTGGTTCTCAAATGAAGATTGCCTGGGCCAAGAAAGCACTAAGAGAGAGAAAAAAAAAAAAAAGCTTTACGGCATTGGCCTAGGGCTCCCAGTCTTTTTTATCTTGCCAAGTTAGGACATTTTAAAAGCTCTAACGCGCATCACCAAGCTTTTATGAAAAAAACCATCTTAATGCCAAGTATTAGAAAAAGATCATCCAAGAACAACAACAACAAAAATCTTTAAATTGAAAACACTCAGCTTTAGGAATCATTTACTACATTGTTCTCATTTTTCTGACATCACCTGTGAAAACTACACCCAGGGAGGGTGGGCATTGGCCTACATTTGCCCTCCAGGTGTCAGGAGCTCACCTGGTGATGTGGAGTTAACTTCTGAATGTGTTAACTGTAGGGAAATAACACCCTACTTTTTGAAGCCTCACTTGGAGCCTAAGAGTTCTCTAGAGTCATGTCTTGATTGGATTTATAAGTTAAAGTTGGGGGAAAATAATTTTAATACAAGTTTTGATAAATCCAATTTAGTTTATAAAGAAGGAACCGTTTACCCTCCAGTCATTAACTTAGAATTGTTAGTTTAATTTTCCACCAGCAGGGAGAAAATCTTGCAATACCTAAATAGTTCGAATTAAAAAGTGTGTTGACAGTTTTCCCTTTTCTACCATTTAACCCTAAAAATGATCAGTGTCTTCAATTTGATCTGGCTTTCGGTTGTATGGTATGCCTCTGTGGGTGGGAAAGGGTGTGTGCGCCCCCCACTCCCATGCATATGCAGAAGACTTGGTTTGATCTCAGGAGCCCCAGAAAGGAATGAGGTGCTTGAGAGCAATGTTGCTGGTAAGTGCCGCTATTAATATTTGCAGCCGTCAGTTGCTGGTGTTAGTACTTGTAGTAAAAGTTGCATCTTAGAACTGCCAAAATAGTGTGACTTTTTAAGATGCCTTTTGGAATCATT